ATTTATCTTTTTATGAACCTCGTATGAAAATCTTATCTGATTCTTATAAGACACTTACGACTGTCGATGGGAAATCTTAAACAATCTTATATAAGAAACTGATAAGATTCTTATAAGAATTTTATAAAATACTGATATGAGACTTATAGGTTTCTGGTAAGATTCTTATATAAGAATCGATCTCTAGGGGGATCTCTTAGATCACTTTTTATCAAAAAGTGAAAGAAGGGACATGTACACTTTTTTCATAAAAATGGTGGAAAGAGTTATTGCACACCCAAGAGTACTTGACTGAGCTGAGCATGAATATGCAGTCCATTCGCAAATAAAAAGTTTGAACAATAGTTTAGAAGATCGCCCATATCAGAGTGGTAAGTGTTAAGTAACGTTTGTGTAACGATAGATCGAGTTATCTCTCTGAATAGAAAACTATCATGACTTCTTCCCTTGAATCTCAGTGAAGGCTCTTCGATTCTATAACCATGATTTCATCCATTTCAAATGGCTACTCCCCTTCTAAGTTTCCCCAAGCATTCCTCAAACCATAACTGATCAAACGCCGATTTGAAATCGATAAATACGGCCGCTACTGGTGAACTGTTTGACATCATCGACGATAATTGTTCAAGAAATAAAAGTATCCTCGTTTGCAGCCGAAATTTTTCTCTGAATACCGATTGTGTATCGGGTAAGAGTCCTCTTCGATTTAATATATTATTCGATATAGTTTTAACTTGTGTTGCCCAAAAAAAAACGTATTTTCAAAAAATCATAAACAAAAAAATCTTATGGTTTGATTATATCTTTTGTAGTTGTCTAGAAAATGAAAGTTTCTTCTTTTCAAAAAATATTATCTCTTTAACAATCTCGTTTCTTTCAAGGATTTTGTCTAAGCTCTTGCCCAAATTTGGTGACGAATTGAATGAATATTTAACGAAAATGTGCTTTCTCGGACTTATTCTCCTAGATTATTTGAGAGGAAAATCTTTCTCTCACTTTGAGATTATTATTTCGTTATTGTGTTGAAACTATGGTGGTAGATGATGCCATGATATCAATTGAAGATGAAGAAGCATTCTCACGTTAAATTTGTGTGACATAAAGGGCATTCATCATAATAGATAGTAATAGTATAGAGTCTCTACTGTTACTCTACATTTCTTTTTCGTTTCTTTTCTTGTACGGCGCGAGAGAATTTTTTAGACACTTGGCAGTAGAGCTAGTAACTATTTTGTTTTCTCCATCTTACATTGTTTAAAAGACAAAGTTCTTTTCTCTCTCGCTGTACAAGAAAAGAAAATAATGAACAAGAATTATGTACTTGTTGAATCTATTAAAAATATATAGCCGTTTGGTATGTTAAAGTAGAAGTAATTTTTTTTCATGATGACTCACCGGGGCAAACGGAAGGAAGAACGTGTACATTCTATATACAAGACTTCACACGAGTGTGTAGGGAGAACATGTGCGCGTTATTCATTCAAGCATAACGTAGTGGTCGGTAGAAAGACAATCGAATTCATCACATTATTATCGCTTATCTACCTACGTTCACTTAAAGAGAAAAAAATAAAGATGTATGCCGGTCACTTTGCAGTTGCTCTGTTATTTCATTCCTATTTTCCTGAAATAAATTCATTTCTGTTTACATTTGGCGTTGGTTTACTTGATATTACTTTTGGTATGCTGGCATATTTTGGCATTGAAGGGCTAACAGTGAATCCAAATGCTGGCCTTCTCGGTGTTGACCTACATTGTCCATTTAGTCATTCACTCGCTGGTTCATTTTTCATCAGTTTTCTATGGGGCTGTATGAGTATGAATGGTGATTTATTTCTACCATTGTTTTTATCCTCATTTAGTCATTTCATACAAGATTGGTTTGTACATAATCGAGATTTAGAATTATATCCCAAAAGTAAAATATTTATCGGTGGAACGGGATGGTGGTCTAAATATCCACGTGGGACATATTATTTTGAATTGATCTTATGTGCATGTTGTTCGATCGGAACGTTAAGAAAGAACAGTAACAGTTTAAGTTTCAACATGAATGGAATCTGTTTGAGTCTATCGATTTTTTATGTCTTCTATTTGCATTACCAACGTCGTGCAGCAGCCAGTGGACAATTAGCCCACATGGTAAAAACAATTCCACAAGAAAAACAAGGACCAATGTTATTTCGAGCATTTATGAAATCATTTATTATGCCAGCCGTAATTTTAGGAACATTATTATATTTTTAAAGTTTTTTTATTGTGATAGTAACAAGGAGTATTGAGTCAAAATTAGACGTAGGACTACCTCCATCAATAATTATATGTTCGTCATGGTTTCCTGATGAGTCTACTTTTCTCGTTTAGCACTAGGTTTCCGACATGATTCATATTGATATTGGTGATTGACTCTATCGGTGAGCATTAATTTCAGTCAAATAAAACAATAACAAGTTTTCTGGAAGTCCCTCGACTACCGGACACCAGGAACTCTGGAAAAACAGTTTGCGAGCTGTTCCGAAACTGATGTGTGAAGCACGATGCCTCACATGATTTCAATTCAAAAATTGCATTCTACTGGAGTCGCAAAAATGGCCTAATTCGCACATCTGCTTCGTGACAATTATTTCGATATAGTGGTAGGTGATTAATTCGAAGGCAAACGACCACTATCCCATTACAACTTGTGCCCGTCTGAAGCGAGAAACTTGAGGGACATGCGTTCCGCCCTGGATAGTATACTATACGTCACAAAACAAATCTGATCTCCAGGATCGATTGGAACCGGCTATTCTGCTTGTGTACATGACACATAGAGTTCCTGGTCGATCGTCAATAGTTTCATAAGCTTTGAAACAGTACGTTAGTAAGGTACTCGAGTAGCGTTCATATCTAGGTGGTGTTATGAGATAAACTTTCCAGATCACTAGAGCTAACTTTTATAGCGGTTTGATACATAGATTGACACTTCCCACTCAAGGATCACTCTGAAGATTGAGGGAAAAACATATTAGGGTTGAGCCACTATAATGACGAATAACTCTGCAAGTCTCTATGTTCTGCAAAAATAGCCAAATTCGAATTATAAAAATTCGCGAAAATGTCCTGCACGAAAGAGCCTGCCTTTGGTGATTCTCACTTTAAAATATCACATAAAAACTGGGTCGGCTTTTGTGCATAATCTCTTGTTCACTTGATATTGTCTGTCTGTTTTTATACTTAATTGAAAATTTTGAATGACGAATAATATTCTGAAAAATAGAAAGTTTTTTCAGATTCTAGAACGATTTGATTCCAAAAACAAACACTTGGAATCGTTTCAGATCGGTTCGCGAAGCTGAAGACAGATTGGATCGACCGAAATTCAATCGGTTCCAGTTGAAAAAGTACTGATATCTTAAACTTTTGAATAAATATTTTGACAGATCGAAGTTTCCCTCGGTTCAATAAAAAATGAATTTTTCACTCATTTCAGTTTTTCAGCTCATTTTTAGTTCTTCATAAATTTTGTTTTTCAAGATGTGAAAACCACAATGTTTCTGTTGAGTTCTTTGAGGATCTCAGAGTTTAAAAAGGCAAACAAAATCACATACATTAATCATCGTTTTTGTTCTGCGATTCTTAATATGTATAAATGTCATGATTTTTTCTTACAAAAACTTAACTTAATCTCAAAATTTTCTATCTATCTACAAAAACGTGTACACTTCGGGAACATATTTATTCTGAAAATATTTAATATATTAATATTAATATCATATTTCTTTCCGTTTGATTATAGTAAAATAGTCTCACCAAGAAGTACACCGTCTCAGCCAAAATACGATTCATCAGAGAGTTCTTCTACAGTTGAAGCTGTCAGTGCCAGTTTATCGAAAATGAATCTGTTCCCAGGCTCATCGAAAGGTACGAACCTGACAATAAAGTTGAATTTTAATCGATTAAAAGACAAACCACGGTTATGTATCACAAAGTATGGAAGTACAATGAACATGGCTGCTAATGATAAATATTTACTTTGTACTCTTAGCGACAACAGCTTTTGCCTTATCGATGAATAAGGAGTAAAACAGTTGAAGTTAGAACGACTGAAGTTAGTATTTCATTATATTTATGATATGCATTGGTCGTCATTCTTAAATCAATTTCTTATTATGTCCGGACAGGCATTTTATCTGTTAGACATAGGTAGTACAAAACGACAGATGAGACAAGTTGAATCTAGTGGCGTGTGCATGAAAAGTTGTACATGCTACACAGATACATTGATTGTAACATATTTTGGAGAAGGTTGATATATTGATAAATACAATATGTCTAATTGGAAATTACTTTGAACATATAAACCACCTATCTTGTAGAGAAAATCAATCAATTGAAAGTCTTCGGTTTAATAGCAATGGATCGCGTCTCGGTATTATTATACACGAATATCACGACGGATCTAACTATTGGTTTGAACTACGTAATCGACATGATATGAAAGTACTACAAACATTTGATTTTCCTTATTGTGATGATAATGAATGTATTTGGGCACTTCGTAACCAAAACTTTTTGATAAATAGTTATGATAACAAAAAACTATTTTTAATTGATTCAAATGCACAGCTGAAACAAACAATTGCATATGATGCAAAAATATGGGTCAATGGCTTTAATCAATGAGAAATGTCTTGTTATATATTGCCATAAAGATGAAGATGAATATTGGTTTTATGATTTATAACAATGATTCAATAATGAATTAATCGAAGAAAAAAAGGAAACACCTGCTACCTAACAAAATCCAACTAATTTGAAGCAAACGACAATTTATAATTTTTCAAAAAAAAGATGTGATCTACACATTGCTATTGTTTTTATTTATCTGTCGGCCATGCTTCTTATACTCGCATCCCACGCCAACCGGATCAATCTACACAATAAATATAAAGATTTATTTACTCATGAATCAATTGTGTCAAACATTTTTTTGTTTCAAAAACCAGGATCATTTCTACTATTTTTATCTAAATTTTAATCTATAGGACTCATTCTGCATTTTTACGAAATGCAGTTATCGGGCTTTTTAGAATTGTTTTGAAAGCTCAAAATTGATTTTTTTCGAATTCAGCATCAGAAGCTACTAAAGAAGAGCTATAACTCTTATCTCAAACATTCTGAGATATCTAGGACATAAAACAGAATTTGAGTGTGTTAAATAGGAAATAAAATCCAGCAAGTGTTTTGTCGATAAAGTTTTTTCTCTTAATCCAAAAACCGTGAGTGAAAGTATTCAAACATGAGTTGTCGTTAAAAAAGTCATCCTGAGAAGTTTATGTACTCGAAACTTCAAAATGGTGAAGTAACATCGTATATATACCAGTAATTCGTTCTTGTATATATATAATCTCAGCAAAAGTGTTTCTACTGACAATTGTAAGACTTTCATTTTTTGTTTTTATGAACACTGAGATTACGTTGGCAAATCAAGTATTTGACAAAATAATGGTATTCTGTAATAGGGAGCTCTTCTTTTCTATCCATTTCATACTCTTAATTAGTAAGTGATGAAGAATGGTAGTGCAAAGTGTCGAAAAACATTTTCTGGAATTTTGGAATTTAGGAACTAAATGATAATTTTTCATATGTCATAAACGGTAAACTTTTCCTATATGTCTTTGTTTACATTATCCACTGAAAAAAATTTCAGAATTACTGCCGGATCCTGAAGAATTTTGCGTAGGAAACTCGTGGGGTTGTGCGTCAACAAAGCTGAGGGTGTTTTTTACCTTTACGCAGGATTCTTTTCCTTGCCATCCTCGAAGGGATACTACAGTTTTCGCGAGGGAGTAAAGTGGAAAATAATCGCAAGACTTTTCAACTAATTCAATCCGCAAGTTTTTTCTTCATTGCATGTCCTGCGGATTGCGTACTGAAAATGGTACGTTTTTTGGGGCAATTTTACGAAAATCAAAAACGTTTTTTCTACCGATTTTTTAATATAATTTTTTCATAACCAAAGTAAAAAATAATGTCTAAGAACAATAAAATAAGTGAACAATCATTCTAATTTGAATGTTGACGTACCATCACCTGTCCGGAATGTTTTATTTTGACAACATTGGATGCAAGTAAATGAAATGGTTTACCATCTAACTGAACTGTCAGTGATGTCTCGTTTTCAATTCGTAATTGACTGCATTGTGCAATGCGAATACCTAAGCAACCTATATGTATAAGTCCCATATCAAACTTACGACTTCAAGCATTTTATCATCAAAATGTTGATCATTAGACACTGGTGGAGATATTGATGTTGTAGTGTTTGGTGATTCCGTTCAATTCTTATCCACTGTTATTAATTCATATGACTGATTCAAAATTTGATTTTAGTTTCGAGGAAGGATCATATCACGGCTGCAGAATGTGATTAGTCTCAGGCATTAAAAGGCAATTTTAGAAATCTTTTTAGAAAACTATTTTACATACCGTAATAGTCGTTCACTGTTGAGATGCTAAATGAGATAAATATTAGTTACTTTTATACTTATCAATTCGTTTTAGTTGTTCTTTTTAGTATTCCTACTAACATGAAAATTATTCCACTTAACACTGGCGGTAAGTTTCTATTTTGATTCTGCAACTGGTTATTGTTTTTTGTTTTAATATAGGTGCCTGCTTAATTGAATGTGATTGTGACATAGATAATCGTAGTTTCTTCCAAGAATTATATTATGATTCTAAATAACCAGACGGAATACAAAATTTTGCTCAAGTATCGTTTTCTAAAACCCGGAAAACTAACTAACTTTCTTTTTCTTTTATGTAAGACTTCTCATACACAAAAAATTCAAACGATGCCATTTCATTGCCTAGAATGTATTTTATGGTAGTCATCGTAGTCAATATAATAAAATTATTATGTGTATGAGAGGAAGAATGCTTGACATATGTATTGATTTAATTGAAACGTCTCCAACATATCTCCAATACTGTACTGTTTTATTAGAGGAAAAATAAATCACAACAAGTAAATATATCAGCTGGATGTGGTCATGGTTATGTCTCGTTAGAAGAAAATTCGTATGTTATTTATATTCAAGGAGGTACATTTAATGAAGTAGATGAAATGCATGGTAATTACAAAGATTTTAAATTTATTTATAAATTCATGAATTACAATAGGATCAAATAATTATTTCAGATAAAGATAACAGTGCACTAATGTTAGATGAAGCAAAGAAAAAATGGAATGAAAGACATTCTATTCTATTATTAAAGAAATAAGTTTAAATGTATATTAGTAAGATTGATAAAGAAAAAAACAGCAAAAACATATGATCATTGTCGTCTTTAACATTGTAATAGGAGTTAACACATTTTAAGCCTCTAACAAAATGTCAGAATGTCCTACTGATCTTAGGGTCTTTTCTCTCGTTATGTAGTCATATACTACGCTTTGCTTACAAATATTTACAAGAAAACAGATATTTTCGCAACAAAACTTATAAAAATGCGTAGATTAGCAGTAGGATTATGAAACTGGTGGGTAGATTTATTGTTACAAGGATGTGGATTATAGCACAAAACCTTACAATATTCACTGGTAATTGATTCAAAATAGACTCTTCGTTTTTCCAGAATAACGTTGAGTGAAATGGAGTACCCCAAGATGTATAGTGTTTAGACTATTTCATATCGTATTAATCAGAAATTTACAAGAACAAAAAACGTCTTTAAAATCTGAGGGAGTCCTCAAAATGTTTCTAGAAAAGCTCTGAACAAAAATTATATTTTGTTAGATTTTTCAATCTTATGTTCCTGTGTGTAGCAGACATAATTAGTCATATTCTGTAGTTTTGAGCTCATTCTGATATTTTCGAACAAATTGTGAATTTTTATTAGTATTAGCCGATAGTGGCCTGAAAACACTAGTTTATGTAACATTCCCTTTTATAGAAGCAGGAAATATGATATCTATTTTCCACAAACGTATAATTTTCTAATCGTATGTTCTTGCCAAATGTTGAAATTTCATGTTGATGTGGCATCAGTTTTATCTGAAACCTGTGTGTATTAAGCATCTTCTATGAACCAGATTCACTTACGAGAAGTGGTAGTGGTACCGTTTAGGCATGCTTTCTAACCCAAAAACGATTTTTCGTACACTTTTCTCTGAGTAGTCTCTAACAAATTTCTACTTGGTACCTTTTTGCCAAATGCAACCGTTACTTTAATATAACTATAAATTTTTTTTACTGTGAGTACCATATAAACAGTAAAGTAAAAAGCGTATTATTCTAGTTGCTTTAGTTCTTCCTTTTCGACATTTGTCGGATCAGGTGCGGATAACGTGGAAAACTGTGCCACTGGTAATATCACTTTGTCATCGAATAGAACAACAACAAGCGATGGTGTGCTAATAAATAAGAAGGTGACAATAATGAGTAATTGATATTGCAATGACAACACGCCAGAATAGGAAAAGGCAATAGCTGACACCAATGACTATAGCCAAATTAATAAAGAAAAGTTGAAAATGAATGATAACACCATTTTCCGTAAGATGATACCTGAACTAATTTGAATATGGCAAATGCACTGGCACTGGTATCTTTGTATCTTCCTGCAAGGATATTCATTAGTTGAGTATTCAATGCACTATCGCCTAGGCCAACCAAGACACTACCAGTAAAAGTGAGTGTTTGACTGACTGATTTACTAGAAATAAATTTAATTATCACTTTCATCATCTGAGAGCAAGGAGTTATTTTACCTGAAATCAAGATAGGCGAGGGTGGAAGTTTCTTTGATATGAGCATCGAACGGAAAATTAATAAAAACAGTATAGTAAAAGATTATTTGTAAAACAAATCCTAGAGAATAGGATACATGATATTCTTCTGTGAAAGCAAGCACTGGCATTGGTACCCAAGAAAATAATTAGCGTACGACTCGACGCCGATTTTGGTTTCGTTATAAAACCAAACAATCCACCACCTAAAGAAATTAAACTACGTGTCTGTAATTAGAAGTGAAGAGCCTGTAGCATGCATTCGATTCTGATACTCAGTTGGTGAAAGATCAAAGATGACCTCCATATTGGAATTCTTATATCTTTGAAGTTTTTTGTGTAACTTCTCTTCTCATTTTATTTAAAAGCGATGCTATAGGAGAAAAAAAGCTACTGATGGAAAAGTTTTGGTTCCCCCTAGTCGGTCTGAGAGATCCTTGTATGAACTCACCATAGAGACAAACAATGACACCGTTCACAATACCGAGCGTATTATGTTTAAAAATGACAATATTGTCTTGACAATTTATTAATATCTCGAAACTTGTTGCGACTTCTTACCAATTATTTCTCCAGCACCGAGTAAAAAGCCATGTAACCCAATCAAACGTTTTCTCTGCGGTCCATATTTGACATAATGGCCAATGCATGTCCCGTACACTGTTTGAAAGAATGTCTGAGCAAAACCTAAATGAATGTGAAGAAACAAACTCGATTTGACCATAGGAAACGAATATTATCTTGAACAAGCCTGAATATGCAAATGACAGGAGTAGCAAAAGCATATTTCGAGATTTGAGCAGTTTTAATGCGACAGTAAGCTCATTTGAGAGATCTCGTAAAGTTTTCTTCTTTTCCAGTTGAGGAGTGACATGTCGGCGTGAACGCCAAATAATGGGAATATAAAGTAGTAAACCGGTTCCACTAACGATAGAAAATACGGTAAATAATAAATGTCGTAAATGATGCGTAATTACCGCCGATCTTAGCGACGTATAAACGTACAAATTACCAGCTAAAAAACTAAATAGAACAATACCTTGTACTCAGCTATTCCAAAAATAGGTTAAAAAGAAACGTTACCTAATTTGAAAGAGAGCCCAGAAAATGCCTGAATTTCTTGAAATTGTAGATTCATTTGAATTTATTGATAAATAAACCCCTTGAGCTGCCCAAAGGACTGAATGAAAAACGTTACTATGTTAATCTCATATTTTATGATAATTAAGTATTTTACTTGCAGCTCCAATGCCGAGTAACACTGATACCAAATAAAAAGACCATAGTAATTATTCGTTAACGACATTTATTTAACTAACTAACTCTATTTGTGGTATCGAATACCGGACGTCTTGGATGACTAATCTAGTGTCGTGGGTTGGATAAACGATACCACATACAAGCTGCAAAGAATAAATATAGTACTTTTCAGAACAATGATTAATACATACAAATAAGGAATTGCTCCAATAAACATGGCCACAGCAGGCTCAAGAAATGTGACAAACGCTGGTGCAAATATGTTTGTCACGGTAAAACATGAATACAATATAGCGAAACCAGTATAACCAGTTCCTTTAAATATTGTTTCATTTTTCATACCCTCTAACACGCTTTGCTAAACAATAATAAAAGTGAAAAAAATCTGCTTACTTTCGGAATGTATCTGCTACTCACCTGAAGCATACCTGACGCTTGGAACGGGGTGAAAAATACCATAAAAGCAGTGCCGAGTAAAATGATATTGAGTAATGTCGGATCCATTAGTTTCGTTAACCGAAGAAAAAAACAGATGTTTCTGCAAACAAAGTTTTGTTATAGTAGAAACGTGATGAAGAATGTAAAAAAAAGATAAGAATAATCACTTGTACTCGAAACTCCTTCTTAACTTCTTTAAATAGAAATAAAACTTAAGGTATACCTATGGGGGAATTTTATCGAAGTTTCACGACGTTAGGGTCGTGCAGTTGTAACATCAAATGCGTAGTCATGTGTGAACTTTCTACTAGTCCACACGCATTCACAAGCGAGAACTTCTCTTCATATGAAACCACACATCATTTTACGACTTTTACTAGTGACCACGTTATCGACGCAGCTAAGAAATATTATAGCAAATCTGTACCGGAATTAAAAAGGGTGAAGAACTACATAGCGCTGACGAGAAATAAAGCCTGCGTCAGAGATCCAAAAAGTCTCTTCGATCGTATTTACGATCGTAAAAGTCGTAAAATGATGTGTGGTTTCATATGAAGAGAAGTTCTCGCTTGTGAATGCGTGTGGACTAGTAGAAAGTTCACACATGACT